CTCCACCGTTAGATCTACCCCAGTGTTAAAGATCATCCACAATGCATAACAAGTTATCAAAGCAGAAATTCTCATTCCCCATAGGAGCAGTCCTCTTCAATCTCTAGATAAAGTGTATGCTCGTGCTGTTATGAAATTCAGTTTATTTCCTTTACACTGTCGTGCTAAAATGAAATTGTATTGCTCTCCATTGAGCATCTGATCTGCATGCTTATAAATTAAACAGAGTGTTCCTAGAATCAAAGAGAGTGATCAAGATTTGTGACAATAACTTCAAAATGGTTTCAATCTACCAAAACTTGTATTTCTTTACTTTTAGACTCGTTAGGAAACAGAATCCAAAAATAATGCAGTAAATATCACAGTACCTTGGTATCAGCCAAATTCATCATTGGCTTCTCTCAAACGTAGAGTACCTTCTAAAAAGTTGTCCATATAACAGCAGAAGGAAATCACTATTTCCCAAATGCTCAACTTTGTGGCCTCACAAGGGAACTTCAACTATAAGGAACAACCCAGCTTTTCAGCTGTATCAGCCCTTATCTTCTCTTTGACATAAGGGTTTCCAGTCGTGCAATAACATTTCTAGATCTTCTATAGACAGTTCTAGCAAATGAAATCAAGAGCACAAAAATGACATGAATAAAAATATGGGAGGTCTTAAGGAAAATTCATTCACCTACACTAAAAACAGCCTTTTTTTTCCTTTCTTTTTTGTGACATGCAAAAAAAAAAAAGAAAAAAGTTTCCCAAAGATTCCACAGAATAAGAAGCTGAGGTGCCAGATTTTCATGGAAAAGTAGACCTGTGATATCGTTAGTAAGTGTCAAGTTTCATCACATGTACAAACTCTAAGCTTGCTCGAAGTCTCTTACCACTCAGGCAACAAATTTCAGACAACGAGTATCCTTATGTATGTTCTGGCAACGTATTGAACAAAATCGCATCCCACAGATTACACAAGTATAGTTGGCAGTAAATCCACAAACAGTGCAGAAACGTCTGCGAGAAGTTGAACTTGGAGGTCCTACAGCTGCCCTCAAATAGGATGGTACATGTGGAGGTAAGGAATCCAAGTTAGCCTGTTTTATTGTAGTAGTGATTTAGACTACCTGATAATAATTTAGACCAGTGAGAACAAAAATGAAACTTCACTGGTTACCTCATGTAAGAGCTCAAGGAATGATCTCGGGGCCTTCCTAGCATTCTCAAGTGCCTTTGCTTGCCGTGTTTTTCGTTTTGTGCCCTTGGGCTGCTTTTTCTGTACATATCCTGCAACAGAGATCAAAAACCAGAATGAGACTCTGTAAACAGCCTAAAGCATGCAATACATTATCCCAGTGCCAGCATTGCAAGAGGAACCTCAAAAAAGTTTCAGTTTCTCATCACCTTAAAGAAACAGCTCAGAGCTACACTAACTAATCACTTAAAAATAGCGATATTAAGTTTGTAGCTTCAATTGCTAATTCTCCATGCATGTACTGGTCTAAAACCTACTTCCAAATCTTCAAATAAACTTGAGCAGGAAGTTTCAGGAAACGTTGTTTGAAAGAAAAACTTTCTTAAAAATAACAATAGAATGTTTAAATACGGCAAAAAGGGTTGCAAAAATAGAAAATCAGCGACAAGACAATGTTATAGAAGTTTAAGACAATAATCCTATTCATAACAATGATTGAATTTTTAAAACTTTTACAGGAGAAAAAAGGTCTAAAATTTAATCCAACCTAGGAAATGACCAATGTTCAAAAATACATTATCAAAATTGCAAATTGCTATCAAATCATCAATTCTGACACAAATATAAGTATATTGGCTAAACATAAAAAGAAATCTTAAACAACACAAAGAATAACGGCAAAGTAATTAAAAAGTTAGCGAGGACCTAGTTCATCATCTTCGTCGAGAGAAGCCTCATCATCATCGTTCATCTCTGCTACTTCAATTCCAGCATTATCATTTTCCAAAGCCTCCAGGCGAGCAAGAGCTGCCTGCGAAAACGAGTTGAAAATGCTTAATTTGATTTCTACAGCTACACAAACCGATGAAAGATTTTATAAAGCATATCCAAATAAAAGCAACCATCAACCAAATTAATCACGCACCTGTGTTCGATTGTCACTGCTCGCAAGTGCTGCAACCATCTTTGAAGCTACCTTACGAGTTCGAGTCGACATTCTACGAAATGAGTTTGATGTGTCATCATCCATGGCTGCAAAATCATTAACAGACCTATGAAAGAATATCCAAAACATTATTCAATAGAAAAATAAACTCTGCAACGGACCTTGAGACTTGCAGTGTATATTTTCAAAAAAAAAAAAAGGAGTTGGATAAAACCTGCAACTTTAATTCAGTAAGCAGATAAGTACAACGATCCTAACGCACTCAGAAGTGAAATAAAGGAGAAATGATGGTCTTCGATGCATAGAATTAGCAAAAGTTCTTTATTTCTCCAGCAACTCAATCCCAATAGGGTTTTCCCTCTCCAGTTGCGGCATATCTCGTAGGGAGGTGAAGGAAACGGTGTCGTTTTTGCGACAGAGCCCAATCTTGCGGCCCTCGAATTTTCTGGGTGTTTTTTTTTTAAGATGTTTTTGTTGGAAGTTTAAAAATAATGTTAAAATAAGTAAAGTATCTTTCCTAAAAAATTATTAAATATTTAATAAAAATTTTAGAAAATATTGTTAATTTAGAAAAAAAAAAAAAAGATATTTAATGAAAATAACTGTTAATCATCAACTTATGAAGTCAATATAAAAAATGAATTAAAAAATAAAAACAATAAATTTAATAAAATAATTATAAATATTTAAATAACATAAAATCATTTATTTTTAAAACACAAAATTTCTTTATTGTTAGTTTTCTATGTATTATTATCGCAACAATGATATCTCATCTTATAATTCAGACAAATATTTTTTTTATATTTTCCTATTAATGAATAAAAATAAAGGGAGTAATTATCAATATATTTTTTTAATCCGAATTGTTAATATTGTTTTACTGTATAACATAAGTTTTTATTATAAAGTTAACAATTCATATTCAGCTTATATTTCGCACTATATTTTGAATATATATATATATATATATATGTTGGGAGTATAGGAAAACATTGAGTACTCGTTAAAATTAACAAATTAAAGAACTCAATCTCTAATTTATACAAGTAACAATATCTTTGTTCTTGTAAAATCATTAAAAACAAAAATTAATAATTCAATCTCTACTATCCAAATTTTTCTAAAAAAAGAAAAAGAAAAATCTACTCTCGAAATACAACATTACACCCACCACGATAATATGCTCTTGCAAGTAAAATCATTGCAATTTTTCTGCAACCAATTACCAGTTACAGTCTCTTGTCCTGATCTCAACACCTGCTGCTGAATCACCAACACCGAAGCCGACCCACCAAAATCCTCCGACGCAATGTAATCTCCGATCACCCCAAGCTGCTCTATATTATGTTCGCTCCACGTCGAGATCCCCTCCACAAGCTTCGGGTTAATACCCTGTTTTCTACCAGTAATCCACAAATCATAGTCGCCGTTGTTCATCGCCTGAATCGCCGCCAGTGTCTCCGCCCCATTCTTCACCACTACTTCTCTGTACATCACCCGGTCGTTCGCCTCGTTCTTCACCCAGAACCACGTCACAACCCCGTCATCAAGCTTCTTCTCCAACTCATTATCTCCTTCAAAGTTATGAGACAGGAATCTCATCACCGTTATGGTGATATCCGGATTCTCCGCCATCCTGTCGGCGTAAGCCAGCGCCTCCCGCGAGTCGGCTCCGCCGAGGAAGAGGATTGCAAAACGGTAAGTATTGTGGTCCATGGAGCGGGCCACTAGTGGGTTCCCAAGCCCACCTTTGTCGTACAACACGCCGACCGAGCACGGCGCGTGGTCTAAAACGTCGGAGTTGACAGACCGGAGACCGCTGTCAATTAACTGTGTACCCGCCACGCCGCCGGCGGTTTCTCTTTGAAACGGCAGGATGATAAACGCCGTTTTGTTAACCATGGCGAGCTCGCAGATATCCCGGTACATGGTTCTCATAGGAGCCACTGTTGTGTAAGCATGGAGTTTGACGAACTCGTGTCTGGTTTCCTGGTAAAGTTTGAGAGCGTTGTTGACGGCGTAATCGTCGACGTACTTGTTGTCTTCTCCGTGCTCGTCGTGGTCGATGAAAATGGGCGTAGCTCGGGCAATGAGCTGACGGAGATAGAGAGCGTGGATGTAGAAAGGGTTTGTCGTAGTTGGGTAGGAGAATTCCAGGAGACTTATGAGTCCGGCCATACTTTGTTGATCGGGAATGCAGAGGACTAACCGGAGCTCCGAGCACTGTGGCGTGTGTTGAATGGTTCTTCTTCTGTTCACCATGTACGGCCTTGTTGGGTCGTAGAAGAAGGTGATAAACGGCGTCGTTAGACCCGTCACTGCTACTGTCAGTATCACCAGTAACGTGAACAGGTTTAAGTTTATAATCTGCTTCAAACAAGAATCCATATAAACATAACTATCATGAAAAATCTTAAACAAATGATTGAGTAGTTAAGGCGCATGCATACACGTTTATCAAACCAGTGCATGTAAATCAAGATCTCGACGACACCTCTGACGTTGAGAATGATACCAAGAGCAAGACTATCCTTCAATGGCATCTGAAAGAAGAAGGCAGTAACCACCGTGGTTACAAATTTAGAAATGTAGCCTGTCAAACACATGGCAAATAATGGCGCCAAGCTCTGCCACCCTGCGTCGCTCATGGCGGAAACGTTAGTATACAACCCAATAAACGCAAAAGAAAACGGCAAGAACAACTCCGTTATTATCGTCTCGCTCCTCTCCACCAACGTCGCTCCTAATGGCGGACCGTCCGGTATAACGAGCCCGAGCCACAGCGGACCATTAGCCATCGCGATCCCAAACATGTCCGTCAAAAAAGACATCACAGGAACACCCAGAAGGATCGCCACGACGTAGCATTCTTCAACGGGTTTTCCTTGCGGCGTATTCTCCACAATCCAAGTCATTACTCTCCGAACGGCTGTCACCACAAAAGCTAACAAGATAATAAGCGAGATGAGGTACCATAAAGCGGGTTTGGCTCCGCTTTCTCCTTGCTTGACAGCTTCGAAAGCGATAATGGCGTTGATCCCAAGTGCATCTCCGATGATGGAAACTGACATGGCGAATCTGCCGACTTCGGAGTTGAGCAAGTTGAGGTCTTTGAGAATGATATGTATGACAGGGAAACATGTGATGGCTAATGAAGCTGCGACTGCACCGATTGAGGAGACTCTTGCGAGGCTGTGGTCCATGGAGCTGCGCAGAGTGAAACCGGTGATGGTGACCATCGTAAAGGGAAGAGCGACGCCGATTAGGGCGACGTAGTAATGTCTTCTACCGGCTTTTTTGACGAGGGATAAATCCATTTTTACTCCGGCGACGAAGAGGAAGTAAATGAAACCCATCGCTCCCATGTTTTTCAACACGAAATCAGCATTGTCTGGGAAAAGATGACGATTGAATTCCCTGTTTCGACCTAAAATGGAGGGTCCAATGATCATGCCTCCCTTCATCATGCATCAACCAAAAACAATTCTAACGTTAAATGCAAATTCTTTTTAACTATAAAAAGGAAAATTAAGAAGGGATAATTTGAAGGCTTACTAGAAGTTCGGAGATTATTCTGGGCTGGCGGAGTGGCTTGAGAAGAAAACGAACGACTCGAGTAGCAAAAATCACAAAAATCAACTCCAACAATATCACAGTGAAGGAGAAATCCAAAGGATTTGCTCCGTAGAAAACGCCGGGAGAGTGACTCCGGCGTAATCTCCGGCAAATGTAAGTAAACTGAGCTTGGGCATGGCCGTGCAAAGAAGCTTTGACCACCTTGTGAATGTCCACCGCCACCTTGATGAGGCTTTCTCCATCAGCGGCTATGGAGTTATGAACTGGGAATACCCTAACCATGTAATCAATTAAACACAAAACTTTAGTTGAATCGAATAATTAATTAACTTCCGTCTGTGCATGCAACATTGAAGTGTGAGAATAGAAAAAGAGAGAAAGAATGAGAAAGAGAAGGAGGAAGAAGAAGAAGAATGTGGAGGGGCGTTAATTGAGGTAGGAAGGATGGAGTTCATTAATTGAGCAAATTGTGGTGCTTTTTTCATCCGCCATTTTCATTTTGGAAGGTTAATAATATTATGCTTTTCTTCTTACACCATTATTATTATTATTACTATCTAATTAACTCCTAATATCTTACAAAGAGGGTCACGAAACAAATTATCTAGCTAAAAACTTTGTTAATTATTAAACTTTTACACTAATCAAGCGAATTAAACAATGCACATGTAAATTTTATCGTCATATATATATATATATATTGTCTTTCACTGACATTTCCCTAGTTATTTTTGTATAGTTTGGATTTAATGCCCATAATTAATAGTAGATTAACAATATTAATCTCTGCAATGAAACAGATTATAGTAAGATGATAATATAGAGTAATAATCTTGGTTGTAATTATTTTTGGGCCTTTAAGACTAAACTTTGTGGTCAGAAGCAAAACTAACCGAAGTTGTTGACCCAATTATAAAATTGAGCTTCTGGCCCATTTAAATTAATAATACATTTTCTTTTTATTTTCCTTAATTAAAAATTAGAAAAATAAACGTATAATTTATCTACCAAAGAAACAAAATACACATATAAATAAAAACATTAAAAATAAGAAATTTTAAAAATCAAAATAAAAATATTTTTATGCACTAAATAACCTTAAATTTCTTGAAAATTATATTCAAAAAATATTCTTATATAACTAAAAGATACATTAAAATTCTTTAAAAATTATAAAATAAAAGAAGGCGGCTACTAAGTATTTGGCGCGGCTTCAAAGTTAGCCGCCATTTGTCAGGGTATAAACTATAAGGTTCGATCACAAAGTGCTAAGCCTGCCGCCTGTGACCCTACTGCCCTTGTTATAGTACTCGTGGACCAATTAATTACCACATAAATAATATTGCAGAAATTTAAAAACTGTTAAATAATTCGAACTTAAATATAAATTATTCAAAATAAATTAATTTAAATTCCATTATTGTTTAACATAAAATGAAATAAGACAATGTCTTATAAAATTATATTGTAGGACACAAATGATATTGTAGTGCGACATTTATTCCTGTCACGAGCATGTCTAAAATTTAATGTGACATCATAAATGGGAAAATAAATTGATGCATGTGGATGCACTCAGTCACATGCCATCTTGTGAAGAATATTAGCATATTATAGGTCAGGTGCATGGATGATACACATTTTTAAACCCATAATTAGCATCTCTAATTACATGTTTAAAGTTTCAATTAAGTAGCATTTTAATTACTTTGCTTTTACGTACAACCAATTTATAATTTTTTTATATAATCAAAAGGAGACCATCAAAAAGATGTTTTGTATTATTTAATTAAACTAATTAATTATAACCTTTTGGTAAATGCAACTTAGCCCTTTAATGATAATGGGGAGCATATATATGTGGGCAATTAGACACTAATTAATTATACATGTCTTTTTTATAATGGTAGGTGAATTATAAATAATTATAATGTGTTTCACGAAGGAAAGATAATTAAATAAATTTTGTAAAGGTAATAAATTAATTACCAAAAGTACAACCACTTTTTCTATATATACATATATAGCATGAAGTGATCGACCCTTTGGTCTATAATCAAAAATATATATATATATATATTATCATGATGAAGTGAAAAAGTTGATTAATTATATTAAATCTTTTAATGTTTAAGACTGTGGAGAGGTGGGGGTTGCTGTTTAAGCACATTCTTTGGCTCTTGATTACATGAAAAAGATGATGATGAATATATACATATATATAGATATGTGTGTGTGTTATATATAGTTTATTTGGTTGGCTTGTCCCCGTACACTTAGACACCTCTTGTGCCCAAAAGTTGGACCAAACCTTCGCCAATACATGAAATTTCACTTTAAAATTATATGCCCCCCAACCCTACATTATAATGGCCAACCACATGATCAGTTTGCATACCAACATTATATGTATGTATATATATATATATTTAATTAAAAGTTTGTGAAGGGAAATTTTCAATCTATCTCTTAACGTGTACTAAAATTACATAAACAAAAATAACGAAATTGAACATTATTACATACACATTTTTTGTAATAAATTTTAAATTCACACTGTAGGCATATCTTTATATGCATAAATATAATTTGGGTATGTAAATTTTCAAAAGATTTGAAATGGGTCAATACGACGATCATGATCCAAATGAAATTTAAAAACATTAGCTCAATCTAATAATGGTTTTCTCTAATAATGATACATAAAGTTTCTGAAATTAGAGATGGAGAGAGACAGATAAAGCCTTGATAATGATGAATGAGAAAGAAGAATGGAGGATGTGGGGAATAAATTAATTAATTGAAGGTGAGTAATTAAATGGAGAAGAAAGCGACGAGACCCTGACTTGAACCAAAGTTGGAAAGGAGTCAACATCCACAGCAACTAACCCCCTGCCAGAAATTTAAAGTCAAAAAATATAATATGCACCACACAAACATATATACATATATATATATATATCTATAAGAAACCCAGATGACGCCCACCAAATTTCTCAGAATTTAGGTACAATATTTTATTTTTTTGAAAATTTTAGAACAATTTCATGTTTTGTTTAAATGAGATTTTTCAATTCAATAATTATCATGGGAAGAACAGCTACAAGACCCTTTTCTTTTATATATATATATATATGTATGTATGTATGTGATGGGATCTATATATATATATATATATATATATGTAGATGATCAACTAGAGGTATAAGGCAGCAGCTCCATGAATATTTTTCTCAGAGCAGGTTTCTGTCTGGATGCGGGTAATACTAGACCTACCTAGGGTTTCAGATCATCCACCTGCTCCTGCTCGCCATTAATGAAAAACCTAACTCACCCTAAGACCAAAAAGACATCAACTTTTTATTTAGGGAATTTTAATGACTGAAGTAGAAGAAAATAGGTACCCTTGGAGACTGTATATCATAGATTGTACTAAAAGTAGTAGAGTTGTACAAAATTATAAGATTAAATATTAATAACTCGGCAGTTATTTATACTTTTAATACATATAATATAGTATATACATATGGATTCAACATTTAATCTCTTTCCAATATTATCATTAGTAATAATCTTTAATTGGGTACACCATTGACTCTTTCGTTTTGCTTTTAAGCTGGAAATATTCAAATTTTATAGGAATTAATTGAATAATTTAGTAGTATAGATGACTTTATTATTATTATTTATTTGCTTTAAATTTTACTTTTATAATTTTTTTTTAAGTAAAAGGTAAATCAATTAGGTTTGTCATATTCATGTGACTAAACTGTCTTATGATTATTCTTAGATTTCATATTTAAATTAAAATTTCAATGGGAAAAAATAATTTAGAGGAAGATACGTGGCATTAAAATTATATAATTTAGATGACATTATATTGTAATGGGAATTCGAATAATAATACCAACAGATCTCAAAGAGAGATGATATAAGATTACACACGGGGATAACGGAGGAAAATCATGTGTTTTATTAATTTGCCTGCAGAAGGAAGGAAACGGCGTCGTACAATTTCACTTATATTAATCATAATTTATGCGAGATTAACCCAAAATCCAAAATTAAACCTTTAGAGTGAATTAGCTGCGAGAGAAGAAAAAACAATTAGAAAGAAAAAAGGTCAGTAACATGGAGATTGAGCTAAACTCAATAAGTATATACCCACGTATACATGTAAATATATATATATATATATATATATATTGAAAGGAGAGTCAGAATACTTACTAAAAGAAAAGAAGAAAACTCGTTACCTTTTTCCATGAGTATTACATTCTTCCTTTGGAAAGAACATCCATCCAGGTAATAAACACACGCAGATATGATGATATACAGATATGTACGTAAATATATAGATGTATTTGATCACAGAAAGTACATACCCATATGCCAAGTATTATATATATATATATATATATGATCTTGGTTGAAATGTTTCTGGGCATGACGCAGATGAGAAATTTACAAATATAGTAAGAAGAACCCGTGAAACTCAGGATAGATAGCGCCACTACTCATGAATCGTGATTTTACATATATATATATATATATATATATAGATATAGAGTTCATGGCGCTATCCCTCCTGAGCTTTACAGATTCTTCTTTACTGTGTTCGTCTTCCATGTCAGGTAATCAGATCACACCCGTTCAGCATGGATCAACAATCTCAAGTATAGTATTATATATATAGAGTGTGTTTGCGTGTGTGTGTGTGTGTGTGTGTACTCTTCAAAGTAGATAGCTAGGAGTGAACATGAAGAGCTCATGAACTCTGCAATATACATATATATATATATATTTGTGTGTGAGAAAGGTAGGAGTTAGGAGCTCACATGGTGGGAGAGAAAGTGGAGGAGCCGAGACTATTTATAAGTGGGAAGTTGGGCCTTCGCTTGCTCGCTATTGGCCGCACATGACTGACTAATAAACGTTATTTTCTTTTTTTCCTCTTACGGATTCACTAGATCCCTTAATATTTTTTTTAAAAAAAAAACTAAAAATTTATCTATTTTATTAATTCGAAAATTTTACAGTTATTATTATACAAATTAGATTCAATTATACTAATAGCCGGTGTGAGTAGAAGAGAATGAGACACGTGGACCAATAAAAGTTGGGTCTAAAATTTTGTGGAGGGACGGTTTTTAAGGAAAGAAATAATAAAAAAAAAATACGAAAATAAAAAGTACATTTTTAATATTATTAAAGTTACTAACATTTATGCTGCCGACTACGTATATCGATACGGTTATATATAATTTGACTGATTGAGATTG